TTACGAAACTTTTTCAGCTGTATGAGCTTGGTTTCACTTCTATTCTCTTAATGCTTCTCGCGTCTTTGAGCACTTTGAGCACTATCGGTTCAATTTAATCCACCTTGTAGAAATTAAGTTTTTAATTTATATATATATATATATATATATATTTTATAATTTACCCCTATATAAATTATATCAATCTTAATGTATTTGTATCACATAAAAGTAATGCATTTAGATAAACAAAGATTATTTTTATAAGATTTATTATATATATATATATATATATATATTCTAATCAATGTAAAAATTTTAAACGGTAGTTATTTTAAAATAGAAAGAATAGTTTAAAATATAATAATTAATATTATATTAGAAACTAAAATAATATTTTAATTTTTAATTTTTCTTTTGATACAATGCGAGATATAAAATAAGGAATAGTAGTGTACCAGGTACTAAGTACATACACCTGACACCACTTTGGTGAAACATTCAATATTTAGAAATAAAGTAACACGACATGCAAAATAGAAAATGACGAACTTAATTAATTAACACTGATTTAGTTGTAATCAGGATTAGCCAGAAGGAAATCCTCAATAGCCTTGAAGAAGAAAAGTGTTTTGTCCTTGTTAAACTTCAAGTATTCTTCATCAAATATTTCATTGTCTTTGGTATAGTGTTTCATTGTCTTCTTCACAAGGCATCCTCCATCTTTCCTTTCCACCACTTTGAATTCATTACAAATCTTCTCCACATGCTTTCCCAATGTACTTCCTTCAATCACATTATACTTCAACACAAACTTTTCTTTGTTAATCGCGTCTATTTGGCTCGTCGAATACCCTGCAATACTCGAGTTAAAATAGTAACCAATTAACAATTAAAAGATCTGAACTGTTTTTAATAATTATGTGAATAACTAAAGAATGTTTTCTTTATGAATCATTAGAGTTGTCCAAAAAATGAGAGGTTGAAGTAATACATATAGAAAGTTTAAATATATTTTTAATTTTTTAAATTTAAGATAAATTTATTTTTAATCTTTCAAATTTAAATCGATCTTTTTAGTTCTTGTAATTTCAAAAAAAAATTACTTTAATCTTGATACTTAAATTTTGTTGAAAAATTTGTCAAATATTATCACAAAAAATTTACCTAACATGTTATTGGTGATCTAAGGAATTAAAATAATTTTTTTTGAAATTACAGGGACTAAAATCAATAATTTTAAATTTAAAGGATAAAAAATAAATTTATCTTAAATTTGAGGAAGTAAAAATATATTTAAACCTATATAAAATCTTATTTTAAACTTTATTGTGATTTATAATTTTTAAGAGATAAAAAAGAAAATATATTTTATTTATATAGTATATATAGATTTTTTATATATAAAAAATTATCTCACAATTATATATATATATATTGTATCTGTTTTATCATGGACTTAGAACAATCACACCTCTGAACAACACTTAAGATCTGTCATGATCTATGTTAAAAAATCAAACTTTAGTTTCTAGTTAAAAAAAAAAAAAAAAAA